GTCCGATCGTTTGTCATGCGCAAAACAGGGGCTTCCGGGGCGAAGGTCGAAACCTGGTACGGAGCGGGTGGTCGAAGGAGTGTCGACTGACCCCTCCAAGCAAAACCTCCTTTTTCAGCACCTGGTCAACCTTCGGCAAGGGCAGGTGACCACCCGGACCTTGACCCTCTTGAAGCCCTCTGATTTGATGTCGGTGAATCAGGGCGGAAGAAGGCACCTGCTTTCCGAAGTCGACCGCTGAGACCGACCGCTCCAGACCGCACCTCCTCAATCTGAAAGGAGTCAAGGCGCAAATACCTGGAGGCGAGGAGTCCGCCTAGCCAAAGCCAGGTGCCAGTAAGATGCCTTGTCATTTTGGTCGACTGCCATGTATAGGAGGAACAACTTGTGAAAAGAATCAAGATTGAGAGCACGTGGGGAGGGTAGGTTGACACACCCACTTGCCCGTAGCCACATGTTGGGAGAACTATGGTAGAATCTGGAGCCTTGGGGCGCCAACTTGTTGTCATCTTTTGAATTCCAGGCGTACCTGCTCCAGTTCTTTTCTGTACGACTGTATGTGATTTTGGTGAGAGTTCAGTTGGTTTGATGTGTTTTCCAGGTTGCGAGACCCTTCATGCCTCCGAATTGATGCCTTAATTAACATATGATAATATGATCATATGTTATGATAACTATATGGTAACATGGTATGATTTGACATGATACAATATAAATATGGTAATATGATATGATATGATCTAGTGGGAAAATTTTTTTCGTGGAGACCCAACCATACTGAATGAGTCTGAATACATGTTCACCTGCACATCCGCTTTCTCTTCTAAAGCCTGTAGTTCCTGGACCTCTTCCAAGCTATTCCAATTCATTGAACCATTCAAGTCACCTGCCAGACATGCGGCCGCTCCTTTTCACCAAACTGCACTCCCAAACGGCGCACCTCACCGATGCACCTGGCGACTCTAAGGTAAATGTCGAGTAGGTGTCCACCTGCCGTCGAGTCGCTTCGTGGACAAGTGGTCGTCCCAACGGAGTCGTCACAGCCTAGTCAGCACAGAAGATTTTACTGCGCCTGATGGCAACAACAGCAACAACAACATGCTTGGATGCGTCTGCAATCAATGACGTTCGATTGTCAATCTGCTAACTATATATACGATATATATACCTGAAGGTCATAGATACCTGTTTTACCAGTGGCTTCAAACCCTATTTCAAGACACACCTGAATCGATTTCGGAATTCTGAGCAAGCAAACTCCAGTCTCCTGCAGAGTTTGATGAACATTTCTTTGCAACATGTTCTTCCTGCATTTGGCCCACCTGAACGGAGCCGCTGCAAGACTGGAGATAATTCAGAGTGTAGTTCGGCAGAATCTCTTCCTGTCCACTGGCGGAACCTCTATCCACCTCTTTATCCGAGCCCGGGATGTGTCTCGCCATCCGTCTCGCTGTTTCGAAGTCATTTGGTGGGTCATTGAGTCCTTGCCTTCAACATGTTCTTATCAGGACTCACAGGAGTATATATATATATATTTATATTCATTCATCTGTTTAGTCATATTATTGTTATATATATATATATGTATATATTATTCATGTGTATATAGTACACTTAAATCAATGTAATATACACTCCCCGGAACTAACATGGAAGTGGATAATGGCCCCCTGGAAGACCATTTTTCCACTACAAACAGGTGGTTTTCCACTTCCATGTTAGTTCCAGGGAGAGTATGTGTGTGTGTGTGTTCCTTTCTCTTTCACTTTGGCTTCTCGAAACTGACGCCAAAGTGAAGTTTGGGAGAGAAAAAGACACGTCTTCCACACCAGGGCAAATGAACTGCTCAAGTCCAAGCTCAAAGCTTGTGGTGCCGGTCAAGACCTGCACACATCGCGCAGTCACACTGCACGCCATGACCGAAAGCACCACCCATGGCTTTCAACCCGGTGCCAGGATCACCGACCTGGAGTCCACCACTTGACCATGGATAGTCAAATATAAGTCAATAGTCCTGGTTGTGACAGAAAGCATGGGTGGGAAGTCAAAAGCTATGGCTCTTTGCTTCGTCTTCGAGAATTGCTCCATGCTTCTTTTTGCTTCGTCCTCTGAATCTGTCCGAATCCGTCCTGCCCCCCCCATTTCGGGTGCCGCTGTCCCCCAACCGTCCACCTGTCTCGCACCGCTCGCGTCCGCGTCCGCCATCTGCTCGCCATCTGCTCGCCCCGCTCGATCCCGCTGGGTCCGCTGGGTCCGCTGGGCCACCCCGACGTTGAGCACCGGCGGATCAATGCAGAAGTCCGGAGGGTCCGGTGGAATCGAAGGCTGCGCGGTCCGCGCGTGGTCGGGGGAGGGGAAACGCGGTGCGTTGGTGCTCAACGGACGCCAGCACTGAGGTTTGGACCAAATACCACCGAAAGCCAAACAGCTTTCCCAACTCAAAGGGGGTTCATCCATTGGGAAAAGATCAACGAATCCTATCAAATCCTTCTACTAAGCAAAACCAGGATAAAAAAAGACAGAAACTCGTGCCAACTCAACTCATGGCTCTCCAATATGAGAATCATGCGAAGTCTTGGCTTTGGCAGTTTCCATGTACCATGGGTACACATTATTCTTGGATTTTTTTTGATGAGGCTGGCTCATTAGATCTCATCTTGGTTGTCTCGACCAAAGGTTCTCGTTCATTCACATCCACAAGGAACCTGTTCTGTTCGTCTCTCCGCTTCTCGAGTACTGAGTACTGGGGACAAAAAGCGCCGAAACATGCGGAGGACAGGTGGAGTGACTTGGAACAGCTAACATGGTTGGTGTGGTGAGCTCCTGTCACATCCTGTCATCCCTCATTTCGCAAGAAAAAGTTCCCACAATGTGATTCTCAGGTATCAGTGTTGTGCTGAACTTTCTTCAAACCCGGTGTCGCTGAGGAAAAGGCATGTGTTTTGGAACATTCTGGCTACAACTCTCCATGTGGGTGAAATATGGTGAAATATCACCCCAAAAACTATTGATTTGTCAGGATACTGGGCTGTGGATGCTTGGGATATCATGGATATCTGAGAAGTAAGGCCGGTTCATGAGCATCTCCCAGTCCAACCACACACTCCGTGAAGCTTGTCCGGGGCCCAGCAAAACCCCAGCCTCCCCTTATTTTCGTCCCGAACAAAAAGTCAGGCAAGACAAACCATCGGGGTTGCTTTGGGTTCCAACCTGAATGAGAATGGAGCCTAGAATGTGAGAGTTCGTCCCCATGAGACTTACCTGCGAGATCGATTCTGATCTAGCGTGTTCTAGCAAAAATTCTCATATCTAAACCCAATGTCTGCCATGCCCTGCCATGTCTGGTTTCATCATGTTTCATCTCCCTCCCCCTTGGCCCTCCTTCGGCTTTCACGAAGCCCTCCACAGTTGAACATCCCTGGGGCTCCCAGCCACTAAGAATCGAGCTCCCCGAGGGCAGCGGCCACTCTCGCCGAGGATACAGCTGCACCTGGGGACCGGCGAGGCCTTTCGAGTCGACCATCGAGCGTACGGCGCTACGAGCGTGAACGATTTGACAGGTGGCTTGTTGTTTCGATGGATCCTTTTTAAACATGTATCATAGTAAGTGACAACATGGCAACAATGCCCCAGGGCCCAGGATGGTTACCTGAGGATTTGGCACATGATTTACGATCAATACTCACAGTCAGGTTGGGCCAAATCTCGTGGGTCGTGTTGGCACCTGCAAGACATCACCTACTTAAACACCCAGGGGGGCGGCAGGTTTGGACGTGCACTCCTGCATGCACTCCAAGGCGAACAAAGCTAGTCCATTGTGCTAATAAGGTGTTTCTTGCATAGATCAGTCAGATAGGATTCACCTTCTGCCAACGTGCAACAAACTTCAACGAGGCTTCGTGGCGAAGCCGAAAACACCATGGGTGTCTCACGAAGTGGCAGGAAACCCCTATCTAGAAACCACTATCCAGACTTGACAGGACACAAACAAACCACGAAGTGGCTGCAGTACAACAGTGAGGGCGGCACTCGGCGTGTTTCTGAGACATCTCCATCTCGTCCATGAAGATTCGAGCCTGCCAGGGGTGGCATCGAACTCAGCAATCAGCAGCCAAGACTGTGGTACTGCCCTAAACCCATGACATCATAATGCTCATTCTTCTCCAGGTCCAAAAAGCAAAACATATTGACATACAATGACGTACACACCTTCAGCAATACCTCTGGCAAGCATGACTTAGCCAGCACTCCTTTGGTTTAGCAAAGGGTCAAATGATGCACAGGGGAGTTGATGGTTTGCTAATGGTTTGTGACATTTTGTGACACATAATTCACATGTATGAACCGGCACCAGCGGGCTGAGACTGGCACAAAGAACTACCAAATACCACTCATCTGGCTGGGATTTGGCAAAGTATGTATATATGCGTATGACTATATATGATTGTATATTATGTACTCTATGGTCCCAATAAGAAGCCGACATTGCCAACCAACAACTCTCAGTGCAGCACCATTATACTTTTCTTCCGCAGCATTGCTGTGCAATGCTCCACAGCTGCCGATTGAATCAGCAGAGTCCCCGCCCCATTGGCAGTGCAATTCGGCCCATCGAAGTGGGTCAATCAGTGCAACATAGTGCAACGCTTCGCTTGCTTCCATGAACAGGAGAACGGACACAGGATTTCTTGTGTTGGACTACTCCTTTTCATCCCTTACATTCTTTTACAGACCGGTATGTGTGCCACTTGCATAGGGAGATGATGGGACTTGTGCTACACTTGGTGCATTAAGGTGGGCTGCTCTGGTAACCTGTTTGGGCATTGATGACAATACGCTCTGACCATGACACAACTCTTGCCTGTCAGCCTCAACTTATCAACACTCATCAGTATCAGTCCTGAGTCGTGAGCTGACAAATATTATATAGTACAGTATGTACTAATACTCGCTCAAAGGATTGTGCAAAGGATTTGATTTTTCAAGCTCTTCAAAGCTCTTCAGCACTCCGTCTCTGGCATCTCACGAATTTGCTCATCATTGCCATCTGCTTCCTCGCCAGGGAGGGCAAGTGTCTGCTACTGGGCGCTACTGTATGTCTATCCGAGTCCATCGATCGACGCCAAAAACCATCAAAAACCCATCTCTTCCGCCAAAACGCCGGCGAAAACCAAAGGTGGATCCACAGCGGAGCCCGCGGAAAAGGGTGCCGCACGTATTACGTCTCAGTTCACAAAGCTAAGAGTCGATTCGGAGTCGCAAGTACTATGCTTCAGTAGGCTGTGGGTCAAAGGCAAACTGACCAGGCTTCCAGCCCCCTGTCGATCTGGTGGGAAACGCCGCTGGGCGAACGGTCACAACCTATCCTCAGTAGAGGGTGGGTCGTCCTCGCCCCCTGCCCAGGAGGTGCCCCTCAGAGGCTCCTCAGGGTGGTGGCCTTGGCCGGCCTTTGTGAAAAACGCCGAGAGGCTCCGAGCTGCCTCGCTGCAATGGAGGCGGGTGCCGCCCAAACAAGGGTCGCGGATTGGAGACAAATTCCAGACCCAACCCAGATCAACCCAGATAGAACCTGAAAACCACCAGAATTTCTTTGGGATTTATATGTGTTCGGTTGACTAAAGTCTTATTCCCGAAAACGGCGCGAATGCAGAATTCCTTGCGTGCCGCTTCATGTTTACTATATAACTAACACTAATTAATGGTGAAACCTTGTTTTTTTGTATGGTTTTGCTCGCTTCACAGCAAAATACACTAGCGCATACTTTTGTACCTAAGCTGACTAGAGCTGCCGTCGGCAGTGCTAGAGGAGCTGCTCTCTGTACTGCTGCTTTGCTGCACTTGCTTGAGCTGTTTGCTCTGCCGACTCGTGTGGGCTTTGTCGTTTGTCAAGTGCAGCTCATACTTTGCCTAGGAGCGCTGCGCGCATTTTGTTCTCACAGCATTGGCTCTGTCATTTGTGCCGTGCACTACCCGGCACACATTTCAGCAATTTCTGCTAGCGCGGAGCTAGCGCGAGCCTAGCGCGAAAAGTCTCGAACATTTACCTGGTTTAGCCCTTTCAAAGGCAAGGTGTGAAAGTGAGCAAAGCAAGCTTACTAGGAATAGTGCAACATGCCAACCATTTGAAGTTGCGTCCTTGCTCCTGCTAGCCCTATGAAACTGCACATCACAGATTAAACATGTGGTCCAAGCAAATGGCTTCTAGCAATCAAAAGCAGATTCAAAAAAAATGCTAGCGCCCCACAAGCGCCACGCTAGCGCCTAGCTTGTGTTTTAAAGTATTCTCTTGCATGCCGCTTCATAATTGCCTTTTAAAATCTACCATCACAAATTAAATGTAGTGTTGCCATTTTGTATAAACTCCTTAGCACCGACTTTTGGCATCCAAACATATGTAAAACACTCTTATATGAGCAACATCTTCGTTGGCGTCTATATCCACTCATCCAAATACTCACATGTGAAGTCGTTCGTCTACTCTTGGACCAAACTCGGCCAAACCCGAGGCCTTCTTGGGCGCTGTTTCGGTCGCCTGCAGGGCCCAGCAAGGCTCTTGGTCACAGTCCGGGAAGGCGAGTGTCAGGACCCCGGAACGAAACGGGACCCGGAAAGACAGGTTTCCTCTACAAAACCAGTGGTTTTCAGGGTGCATGTGGGTCTCTTCCAGGGGGTAATTAATTATAACCTATTCGACCTATTCCCTGGTAGCAGTGGATGATGAGAAAATGCCAACCTCTCTTTATAAAATAGTGATGTTCTTGTTTGCCGACTGCTACAGGTAGTAGGACAGGCCCAACACATACACAACCAGATCACATCGTTTGCTTGATGTGGCACATCATGGAAGCCGCACGGACACATGGTTCCGCCGCACAGGTCTCGCAGTGGACCACCGCGCTTTCCGCTGTTTCTGTTGGATGCAGTCTGCATGGCAGCGAACCGAGCCAGGAACCGAGCTAGCGAACCCACGAGCCGCATGCTCCTCTGAAAGAAGGAGTCCGAACGAGAAGCCGTTGACGCAAAGCCGTTGAAGCACACCTTCACCATTTCAGCTGAATCATTCAGCGATTTCATAACTTAGTCATTTCAAGATTGACTGAAGCAAGCTGTTTGCTGCGGAGGTCCCAGTCCGCAACAAAAATCCTTGTGATGCGAACAAACACCCTGAGAACGACTTGCTTGGGCGGGCACCTCCTGGAAATAACACCTAGGACCTAGGACCTAGCTAATCCTAGCTACAGTGAGCCCGAAAGATCCTTAGACCAAGTTACTATATATATATATATACCAAAAAAAACCGAGAAGCTGGACCTTAATCATTGCAACCTCTAAACTCAAGAAACAACATCCTCCTAATATATTTAAAAAGGAACCTATTGCAAGCATAGAACCCATCCAATATTTTGGGGACGTTTCCCTCTGCATGACATTCGCCAAACTCCTGCGCCTCAGCGTTCTTCTCAGCTTTCCGCTTCTTTGCTCCTGGCCAAAGCGTATGGAGGATTGACCGTGTGCCACGGCGCGTGCGACATTGAATGAAGATGTGAACGATGACCAAGCTTAGCTTGGAACACGACTGAGAGTCTGCTGACCAATTCCGGTGAATCCTGATGTGTGCTCGGGACACTCAGGTGATCTCAACCCGAGATCAGTGGAATCAAGACTGAAGACAAAGCTGAATCGAGATGGTGTTCAGCAAGTTGAAGGGATCTAATGACTTGGCCATGTTGCTCCGCTTTATCAGTTGTCAATTGTAGATGACAGTTGCGGAGCTTGCATGACTGTTCAAGAGATGACTGTTTCCATCAGTCACTGTCTAATGTCATGAGCAAACAGTGGGCAAAGCTGCCTGAAAAGACATCCCTCTTTATCCTCTTTGGTGTAGTGTTTTAACATGTTACAGTAGTATGGCAACCAATACAAACTCCATGGAGAAACTCTTCAGGACACGACACGAGTTTCTTTTTATGACTCCACGAGAATCGCCTGGCTCAAAGGAGCAGAGCTCGCAACGACCATTCCACGACCATGACCTCTAGTCTCAATCCGACAAACCACCAGCATAACCCCCTCCCAACATCAGCAAAACAAGAAAAATATGAAAGCTTGTGTCCACCAGAGGTGGCTTTATTCTAGAAATCAACAAACTTGAAAAAAAAAAACAAAAAACATAAAACAAACACCAGCAAAACAAAGAGCAACCAAGAAAGCAAAAAAAAAATACAAGTGCAACCAAAAAAACACAAGGAAAACAAGAAACAACCAAGAAAGCAAAAAATGCAACCAAAAAAAAGACAAACGAAACACAAAGGGTAGTTTGGAGGGGCCGGGTAGGGTTAGTACTGGACAAGGGTCTTTTCTGGTGCCGGGTCAAGTGTCGCACTTTTGGTCATTTTTTTTCTGGTGCCGGGTCAATTGTTGCACTTTTGGTCGCTCTTTTTCCGGCGCCGGTTCAGAAGTCGCACTTTTGGTCGCTTTTTTCAACTCTTTTTTTTTCCGGGGCCGGGTAAAAAGTCGCACTTTTGGGCGCTTTGATTCGCCGTTTTTTTCGCTGTATTTATGTTTGTTTTTATTTTGCGAAAAAAAAACAACAAACAAAGCAAAAAAAAAACAAGCGAAAAAAATAGCAACCAAAAGTGCGACTTTTTACCCGGCCCCGGAGAAAAAGAAAGGAAAAGCGACCAAAAGTGCACCAGAAGGTGGACCCTGCCTCGAAAGTGCGCCAGAAAGCCCGGCTGAGTTGTTCCATTTTTGCTTGCAGTTTTGTTTGCTTGTTTTTCTGGCTGCAATTTGTGATTGCTATTTTGTTGCTCTTGTTTTGCTTTGTGATTGCTTTTGTTTTTTTCTGGTTGCATTTTGTGATTGATGGCTTGTTTTTTTCAAGATGATAAACTTCTAGAATCCTAGAATAAAGGGGTCTGGCAGACACAAATCAAGTCATGCAGTTCCAACTCCTTTTGGCCCAAACCAAAGGGAACCAAGAACGAAGGCAACCCTACAAGGAACGTCCCACGGTGGCCCACGGAAACCCCGTCGCCTTTCTTCGTCGTCTTGGCTTCGTCAGGGTCCTCCACTGGCACCTCCGTTGGCAACGAACAACGCTGAGGTACGGGCGCGGCGCGCCAGGGCGGCTGAGGGATGCTGAGGGTGAGCGGTCGCCCCACGGTGGGTCGCCACTGCGTCAGGATGAAGTCCATCACTGGGTTGGAGTCAGGGCCCACCTGCGGGACCTCCTTCATCTCTGCGAAGTCTGGGAAGCTGTCGGGGACCTGCCGAGGAAATGGCGAGGGTCAAAACATGTCAAGCAAGCAAATCCGGCAAAGACATGGTTCTAGTCGTTTCAAGTGTCTTGCGGGAGATCCAACGTTACATAGTTGTACTTTTAGTATCTTTTAATACTAGCCGCGGAAATGCCAGATCACTTAGGCATTGGCATATGAGATCGTTTCACAGGTTCTCAGAGCAATCCCAGCATGAGAGACCAAATGAGCAAATCAAACCATCTGACACTGGGCCTAACAAGCAAACACTCGCCTTCACCGGTGTTTTCATACGCATGTGAAGTCAGTGACTGTTTAAACAATTCTCCAATGCGTTTCAGAAAGAGACGAGACGGACTGCCCTTCCCCAGGCACACTGCCCTTCTCGATCCACCACAGCTTGGCTGAGCCTCCAATGAATCCACTGCAGCTCTGGCCTGTGATGTGTGCAAATTCAACAGGCTACTGGTGCTTCGTGGCCATATTCAGGCGGCATGAAGGATACCAGGATACCTCTGAGGGGTACCTCCCATCCTGCATACGAAGAAACATTGCTCGAATAGCCACCACCCCCACCCAAACACAAGAAGAGGTATACCTTAAACCTCCGGCGGTTGCTTTTCTCAGCCTCTTAGCAGAGAGGCTCAAATGTTAGCCTCTCCATTCAAGAGTTGCCGCTTAGAACAAAAACTGCCTCTCGTGCTTTTCTGGTAGAAGGGAATCTTGTAATTTGCAATGATTTTGGGGGTCTTCCGCTGCTGCTGCCGACAGCTATCAACATGATAAAAGATTATCGGTCAAACCCAAGCAAACAGAGTTTCATCATGCTTGCTAGCAACTGCGTCCAAACCCAAACCAGCCGTTTGAGTTTCATCATCAGGCAAGACGTAACTCTCCAAGGTGTTTGGCGTTTGGAGGTCTTTCAAGGCAGAGTTCATAGGAGTAGGCAGTTGCTGGATTTGCAACCTGAGCGCCTGCAACCGGCAGAAAACAAAGCTAAAATGTTTAGCCAGGAAATGTTCAGACCAAAACACTGACTAGAGGTGAGTATCAATACCTATATATAGAAACGAACAGCCCCACCTGCGGTTGTTGCAGCTCTGACATCAGGGTTGCATCGTCACCATCAAGTTTGTCCACATATTTCTTGTCTTTCACTAACGTCAAACCAGCCATCAGGGTCGAACTCGAAAAGACACGGGATGGAAGCTGATACGCCATTTCCCCTTTCGATTAGAGACGAGCCTGAAAGCGGCAACCAGTCGACTTAATTAAAGACGATGCCAAAAATTCATAACCTGGGAATTCTGCCTCTTACCCGGGAAGTTCCGCCTCTTACCCGGGAAGTTCCGCCTCTCATTGTTTCACGTGTTTCATGTTTTTGCATATGTTTCATGTTTTTCATGTGCTTTCATGTTTTTCGTGTATGTTGTTTTTTCATATGTTTCATGTGTTATTTTTTCATGTTGCTCTCCTGTGCTTTCATGTTTTTAATATTTTTTAATGTAGTTTTCATATGTTTCATGTTTTTCATATGTTTCAGGATTTTTTATGTGGCTTTCATGTGTTTCATGTTTTCATGTGTGTTTATCAAATTGCACGATATCACGTTCATATTTGCAATTTTCCATGCAAAAAAGACCCCCACAAGTCCGGTTCGACCTGCCTGAAATGCAGGTTTTGAAGGGGAAAGCCGGACTTGTGGGGGTCATTTTTCGCAGGCCAATCCAAGTGGAAAATTAGCTGTTCATATATAATGTTGTGTGCGCTCACTTTTCCACAGTGAGTTATCATGCCTTCATGTGTTTCACGTTTTTATCATGCTTGAACCTTTTGAATGCATATATAAATATATAACTTACGTTTTGGTTCATGGTTCGGGGTTTGTGGTGTTTTTTCCTATATGTTAAGTGTATAAGTTTCATTGTTATCACGGTTATCATATGTTCTATCAACATAACTGGGGAGAAATCTATGTAAAACAAGAATCGCCTCTTGCAAAAAAAAATGCCTCTCAGTTCCTAGAGGCGCCTTCTAGGTTGGAGGCGCAAAAAGTGCAGCCCTAGGAAGATTCAGGTATATAAGAGTCATGTTGATCCAATGTGATTTCCGCCCACATGTTCAAGGTCCAACACCGGAAGGAACAGACACCAACACGTCCGAGACCGGAATTTAATGCTCCAATCTCCCAACCTAAACAACAGCAACACACCGCAGCTCAAATTGAAGGATTGACATTGGATGGCTTGCGTGCAACGGCAAAGCAAGAACAGTTGCGAATACCAAATACTGTGACTGTGGGTCATGTCGCCTGGTGAACGCTAAGAGAAACATGAAGGTAGGTACGTCAAAAGCTTTTTCACCGTGCTCACAGATGCAGGTGCCGGAGGACAAGGTACCTAGACCTCAGTAGCTCACAGATATGGACAGCAGTGTTATTAAATAACACTGGGATTCAACTAGCTTGCGAAGTCATCTTAGGTGAACTTGCCATCCTACCCATATAGCAGGTACTCAGACCTGTATCAGGGTGAAAAATGAAAGTGCAAAAACAAGAGCTGCTAGGCTTGGCCTCGGGTCCCTCGTTTGCCAAGCCAGCACTACTCAAGCCGTCTGATGGGTTAGAGTGGTTATCACTCCACTCGAAACCACACCCGCACAGCTGAGTGTGGAAAACAAAACTACACAAGTGCACCATGGTGTGTACATCCGGTTCAAACCCTCGCCTTTGAACTAAGGGGGGGGCCACTACGGCCTCATTGGGAGCACACCACAGCACATGCCAAGCATCAAGGTGTACTCCAGGGAACGCAGGAGGCAAAGCCCACAAAGATGTTTCTCGGGGCATATGAGCTGTGTGTGCGTGGTGGCCAAGAGGGTATGACATGGGATGGAATCACGCATGTGACCCTGAGAGTGTCGTAGATTTCCCCAGGAGCACCCGGCCCAGCCCGAGTGTATCAACCTCAAAGGACGCGCCCGATGAGCGCAACAAAGGCAGGGCGGCACTGAACAGACAGCACTCTCCCGCGGCTCAGCAGGCGACGTAAGAAGCCAACAATGAAGACAGTCCCTGCTCAACACCAGAAGCGAAACCGCTCTGCGTCGATCTGGCCACAGTAGTCGCCCAACCCGGCCGGTATAACCAGCATAAATGGAAGACAAAAACCAACAGAAGTCACCCCGAAGCTTTCCTGCATAATCGGGGGAAAAAGTGGGTGTCTCCAGGCCAGCATGCGACTGTTGCAAAACCTGGTCATAATGATGACTCTGGGTTAGAGCCGAAACTTTCCATGGGTAACGAATTATCACCGTGTCCGAAGGTCCGTAAATAATGGCGATTGAGGTCTGGCGTGAGTGACTGAGCTGGTTGGGGAGGCACTCCCAACAACCAGAAAAGTCAGTGCATGCCACCTATGACACAGTATGATCTTGCACAATTGCCACTGCAAGTGGCCCATAACAATAAGCAGCAGCTGAGTCCAGGGGAACACGACGGCCAATGGTAATGCCAAGCTGGGGGAACCGAAAAAAGTTCACCACAGCACTCTCTAGTCCGTAGGCGAGCCCATACACGGTGGTAATGCGCCAACCTATTGAGAGGACAGAAAATGGCCACATTAGAGATCGCAGGTGTTCCCCCCACTCATGCAACCCTTTGTACGTATTTGGTAAATCGTCCGTACCCAGACGGAGCGGTTACTTGTCAAAGATCAGGTGTCGTATGAGCCATCCGAGCCAAAGCTACAACAAGTCCGTATTGGCGGCAGAAAAGGTCTCAAGGCATGGACAGGTGAGAACTGTGGCTGCGCTTGCGTGCGTTGTCAATAGCCTGCTGCTTGCCATCCGACTAAATAATACGACAATCTCTCAACTGTCTGCCATAAATACATCCATGTCTCAACCAGTGCACAGGGGGCTGTCAAAGCCCAAAGCAATCGCATCAATGATGCCCCTAGTGGAGTTCCTGGCAATGCGAGGGGGCCGACTGTGCAATCGCTGGATGTCTGCTACCGCTGAGGGTCCCAACCACTCAGGGAGGATGCTGCACGGCCCCGACACTAAAATTCCCTGCAACAATTGTCGCGTGCAGCAGCTCCTCCAGCTCTTGCTCCATCGGCTGACCCGGGCGGAGCGCGGTCGGGGGTGGCCCAGCCGCACACCCGAGCGGCGCATGCGGAGAACTGGAGGCTGCACGCAACCGCGGCAAAGGTGAGCGTGTTCGAGCCTCCCGCAGCCGCGAAGTCATCGAGTGCCCTGGCCGCTCACAGACACGGCAACAGCGAGCACTCACCAAGTGGGGTGCAGGGCCCGCATGGCGCGAAAAAACGGAAAGCCCTGACCCACACTTGAGCCAAAATGGCATCAAAGTGTGAGTCCTACACTTACATGTTTCACATCCCAAGGAGTCCCTTCCCAACCAGACCATTCACCTTGGTGGATAATGTTGAGATAGTGAACAGCATGTTTGCCTCAGGAAAGGTTTACCTGACCTACTACTTCTTCCGTCTGCTAATGGATCAAAAGTTTAAGCTGACCGGACCTGCCGATCTATTCAGGATGCACGCTCTGGAAGTCTATTTGCGCCTGGATTTGCTCGTGTAGTTGCTGCAACAACGTCACCGAACTTGGCTTGAAGTCCTCCGCGCTCTCGCGCACGCACGCCGGACCGCTCACATCCAAACTGTGGCTGCAAACGGTGGATTCGGACGGTCGATGATCCAATCATCATGTTCTTGCGAAAAAGGGCTAAGAAGTGTTCAACCTACTTAGCTTGCGCAACTGCTGAAGGTGCTTGCACCCAGTTTGTGCAGTTTACATGTTCAGTGCACTTGCTCAAGCCGCTGGGGGTGATGCCAGGTTGCGCAACAGGTTCAGCCCCTTGAAGTGCAAAAAACAACAATATCGAATGACATCAGTTTGTCATGAACCAGGATGTCAAAGAAAAACTGTGTTCAACACTTGTGGAGGTGGAACTTGTAACCTGTCATAAAGTGGAGATCAACTGGCAACTCTGGGATGTCCCTCATTGACGCCACGGCCTTGCCTCGGGAACAGACTCTGGGAAGAGGGAGCACAACCTGCAAAAAAAAACAGTGATTGCAATCTTCGGAAAGGACGTGGATTGATGTGGTCAACGGGCTGGTAGTCACCTAGATCTACTTATATCGTTTCCGTTCTGCTGTGAAAAGTTCAGTTCTTGCTGCGCAAGAAAAACAAACACGACGTGTGACAAATTCGTGTGCTCGTGCTCGCGGTTTTGAGCTGGTCCAATGGCGATTCCTCCGGTGCCGAAAACACCACGGAGGGGTGCAAGCTGACCCACCTTCCATCATAATTGTACCTATTTCATGAACGCCTGTGAATCTTCCGTCATTCCTCACTCTCATCACTTCTCATTCCCATCACCCTTGCCAAGGCCGCAGCTTTGATGCGAGCTGTGGCATGTCTTGTTGCAGGAAGCGAAGCACATGGTCCGCCTCGGAGCTACTTATGCAGGAGATGTTGCTATACACCCCAAGACTATGGAAAGCCCAAGTTCACCGATTTTTCAAGAACCATCTCCCCACCAACCCCTGAACACCAACTTTCTTGTTTTTACCCCAAGCTAAACCCCTAAACTTGCTCCATGGATTGTCGTAATAATTGCATAGAACGAAAACAACAACAACAACAACAACAAGGTACAAGCAAAAACTGCAACCCCGTTACACCACATCTTCTTTCTTTTTCTCTACAAGGGGGTAGAAACAAATTCTGCAACCCCGTCGTTGTTTTTTGACCCCCCCCGAAAAAATACAACCAGACAACAAGCACTTTACTGCTACTACTACTAGTGGTACTAGTGCTACTACTACTACTACTACTACTACTACTACTACTACTACTACTACTA